AAAAGTGGTAAAGCATAAACATTTAGTGGGGACATTTAATAGTAGTGGTCCCAATAAGCAATGAAAATTTATAGTAATACAGTTGTTATATCAAAATATTGAGTTGTCTTATATGCATGTAATCCTATGTTGCATGTGAAGAAGACCACAATTTCATAATGAAGAAAACCTACAACAGGAGTTTATGGATATGAATAAAACAGGATGAAATATTTACGCATAAATAAGATAACTTTTGTATAGGATAAAAATAAGGATGTGAACATACCAAATATTTGAAAAAACTTCCTTCTACACATTGGCAGCATTGGTGTTGTTGATTTTCCCATTGGCAGAAAGCATAGTATCTAAAAATAATAGTTTGAAACCTGTTTAGGCATTAACAAAATGTATTGCAAAACCTGGTTATGGGTAATAAGAGATTAAGATAGTATGCAGCCATATGTTACTGAAGATGAAAAACAACAAACATATTTAATGAAGTTGAAAATTATGTATTGTTAGAAAGGAATTAACATGAAGGTGTGTAGTTGAAAATAATTTTCAGTATAAGTGTATGGGTTCAGTTCATATTTTGTGTAGTGTTGAGCACAAATGTTTGACCTTTGAAAAGTTAAAAGTTGAGGGGATATAATAGTTTGGCGCCTGATTTCAAAACTGTATGGGACCCAATTTGAAAAGTTGCAAACATATGCTGGAGCAAAATCAGGGTAGTCGTGCAGCAGTCTGCGAAAACTACATAGCAGGCATATTCTAATCAGCAGACAACTATGATGGAAGTCCAAAAGTTAAGCAAATCCAGTAGGGAAATGAGGATATATTAGTGAAAGTTACTTTCCTGGAAGTAGAAAATATCAGTAAAGGTAATATTATATAAGTGAAGGACATTGTTTGCAAAGATTAAAAGGTATCCAAAGAAAAGTTAATATTGTATGTGGTGTGGTCACATCAAGGTTGATATATTTTGCAAAGTCAAAAGTATACAATATTTTTATAATGTTAATTAGGTAGTATTAATCATTGAAGCTAATATAATATAATGGTTATAAGATGAATAGGAAGTTATATTTAGAAGGCTTAATTGTAACAAATTTAATTGGGAATGACTTTGGGTTTGAAATGATCTATTTGACATGAGATGTTGCAAATATGTAAATTTATAAAGTGAACCTGATGTAGTGTAATAATAAGGATTAAAACATCCATAATGAAAACATGGCCATTCAACATTCAGGTAGTGTAACAATGTTAAAACTTTAAAGGGACAAAGTTGAGAGACAACTGAATTGTGGTTGTTGTTGTAAAATTACAAAAATGACATAGCAACTTAGATATATTTAGCTAAACATGGTTATATTAGAGTTAAAAAGTTGGTGGAGGCCATTACAATATGATGAATACAGAAATGGCACAAATGTCATTCTGTAATTTAAAGTGTTGATTGGTATTAAGGCCAATTCAAAATTAAGTTACAAAACATTATCCATATAAATGCTGGAGGCAAACGAAAAAGATGTAATTTTTCTTTCATATTACTTCTCCAATTTGATGAGTTTTTTTTCACTTTGGTGGAAGATTGTTCACCATCACATAAGCTAATTGCTTGGGAAAGCTCATCAGAAACAGGAGTGGAAACCCTTTTGGAAGTAGAGGTTGGTGTCAGAGGTTCAGAGGAAACCTTGGAAGTCATTTCGTAATCCTGAAAATGAATGCAAAGTTGAATTTAAACATAAATTGTATTATATAAAATTCATGAACAATAGACAACCGCAATATTAGAAATAATAGGATATATTTGTGACCTGAATAACATTCCACTCCTTAATTGCCAATGCCTCATCAACACTTTTTATCTAAAGAGTATAAAAGTGAAAAGTTATAGAATAATACAATAATGGTGAAAAAGGGTAGTTGTAAGTGAGAAAAAAACTAACATGTGAAGGTTTGGTTGTCGAAATAGGTTGAGATGTAGTATTCTGAAAATAGTTTGATTTATGTTAAACAACAATTTAAAAGTTATGAAAATATAGGTATAATTAGATGGAAACAATACTAAATCTTGTCCCAATGAGATTAGTATCTGTTTGACAATAATTTCATCGCGAAAGATAGAGACAAATGTTGCATTATCCCAAGATGGTTGTCATTTGACTTTAAAACTAGTTTCATCCCAAAAATAGAATCAAGTTTCAATGGATATTCAAGAGGATCGGTGATTCCAGCCTAATTAAAATGTTCACGGAAAATAGTGAAAATGTATATTGAATGAATATGGTTATGTCATGTTTAAGCTATTTCCAAAGATATATACTGACCTCAAGCATGGTGGTGCGCATCTGAGCAGCAATTACTTCCAACAACCGTGTACACTCATAATCCCATAAAACAAAAGTAGCACGACATCCATAACTTACAACCTCAATAAGAATTTTATACCTATGAAAGTTAATGTAAAAGTCAAATTATAAATTTGTGTGGAAAGAAAGTAAAACTCAGATATTGATAAAGAAAAATTACCTATAAATTTCAGTTTCAGTTTTGTGATCAACACTACAAATATAAGGGGGGTTTATATCCTTTAGCATGCCTTGGACACTCATGGCAGGCTTGGTAATACCAACCTCCTGAAGCAACTATTATTTTGCTAATTTCAGCAACAGTGACACACTGAGTAGTCTGTAACGCAATATTACATGAAACAAATGACTATTATGGGTTAATTAAGAGACACGTATTTGAGTAGAATAATTAGATTGTGTCTTACAGATTTAAATTGGACAATTTCACTGAGAGGAATTAGTACAACCTTGTACATAAATTTGTCATATGGGCTTAGTTGACTACTACCAAAAGCCTGAGTTCCTTGTGAAAGTGTGGTAATGCTTTGAGTTGTTATATCACACAAATGATGTGTTTGAAAGCTATGTATATTTGTTGAAAAATGGTTGAAAATATTATTGTTAATTATTGCAAAAAAAGATAGAAGAAAGCATGTACAGAAGAGAAGAAACTGAAACCTGGTCAAAAAGTCTTTAATTTAGGGTAGATCATCATTGATGTGCAATATTGTGACATTGAATATGTTAGAAACACATCATGGATATTTTCGTGTAAGATTGTGAAAATAAATAAGATTAAGCAGAAGAAACAAAAATGTGAATAAATGGTAAAGGTTACAAAAGAGCTTGGTTGTTTGAACTTCCTCTTTGACCTTTGCATACTGCATAGCAATAACAATTGATTTTGACCAAAAATCAGCGTCCTTCCTTTGTTTATTATAATCATGGAACTGTATGGCATAAGTCTTCCACAGAGTACAATTGACAGTGTTGTTGCTGCATAATTAATAGGAAATGTTACATTAAGCATTTATTATAAAAATTCAATAGTTAACATAAAAGTGAAGTAATCATACCTTAAAATTTTCAATACCAAGTTGATCTCCTATTTTTTGTTTCCACTATCAGTTTGGGTGTAACTAATGTCTGTCACTATTCCGATCACATCTAAATAAACTAGGAAAGATAAAATAATTTAACTCTTGCACATTACATAAGTACGCATGGAACCAATATTCAACAAAATTAGATAAAGTTATGCATACCTATTAACACATCCCGTTTCCATTTTCCATTTATAATATCAATAAATGGAGTGAAACAGAGCGGTTTTAATGGTATCTCATGTTTGTTTTCATCACCAACACTTGTACCACCGCTGAAAGTCAACATATATTTGTGTTCAGACGGCTTGAACAAAAGGTCATTCAAAGATATTTGAAAGTTGGTTATGGTATAAGTCTTATCCACATATAAGACAGAATCACATGCTTGCTTCAACGGAGCCAAAATTTTCCAATGAATATCAGAACCCTGGATATAAAATACACGTCTGTCAGCTACATTAACATATTTCATAAAAGTGATCAGTAGTAATAAAAATTATTTAACATTCAGGATATGTCTATCAGAATAGTAACATATATAATATAAAAGAAAAATATTTTCTATAATATCATACATGCATCTTTAAAGCAAAGATCCACCATAATACCGAAAATTGGTTGTAAACCCAACATAAGTCCTATACTTAACAGCAGAACAAACCAGGCTACCCATACATAAAATAAATGGAAAAATATTCGTGTAAACCCTAAAAATCAGGCTACCCATGCTTGCTTCTTTATCAATCAGAATCATTTCAAAGTATTCCTTATTCCTTGAAACAACACTCCATTTGTGATGAACACGAATAACTATTTTCCAAAACTCCTTGCTTTCATTGATGTCTTTGACATTTTCATAAGGTCTTGCCATTTTGAAGCTACACCACACTGCAACTGAGTTGAAAGAGTCTGGAGACTATTGAAAAATGAAGACTTCACGGTGGAAGATGATGGAACATAAGGTTTTGTTGAAGAAAGAGTAATGTGAAGAGAGAGTAGGATTGAGAGAGAGAGAGAGAGAGAGAGAGAGAGAGAGAGAGAGAGAGAGAGAGAGAGAGAGAGAGAGAGAGAGAGAGAGAGAGAGAGAGAGAGAGAGAGAGAGAGAGAGAGAGAGAGAGAGGGGGGGGGGGGGGGGGGAGGGAGAGAGAGAGAGAGTAGTTTTTGGCGTGTGAGAAGAATGAAAGAAGAAAAAATGTGCTCGTTCTGAAAAAGTTAGTGTTGGAGAAGAGTGTACACTATTCACCAAAATAGTGTTATTTGATTTAATAAGAGTACATATATTTTAACCATTTAGTTATATTTGAAGAAATAATATTCAACCACTTTTAAATTTGTCAACAATTCATAATAAATATATTTGACATAAAACCAAAAATATAATTTAATTGAAAAAAGTAATTTTTAAACACAAAATACCTCTCATTGATGAGGTAAAGGGCAAAGAAGAAAAATTAAAAAAATATTTTTCGAAATATCTAATTTTCTTATATTATAGATAAAACAATTTTTTTTAATGAGAAAGCAAAAACAATAAATTTCTCTACCCAAGGTAAGGATGGACGACGAAAAACGTTGGTGCGTGTCTATGAGAAAATGGTACCACAGCAGCAGCACCACATATTTGGTAAGTTGGAAAAGAAAGATGAAAAATGGTGCAATTGCACCACCACACAATTTGTCAATGCCGCCGAGCCACCTTAAACTTAAACAAATAAATCATACGTATCTCAATTAACGTGAGAGGAAAGAGAAGCTTGTTGGTGTCGTTGAGTATGAGTCGCAGTCTCGCTGAAAAAGGACATGAAAGTGCTGCCACAGTCAAGGCTTTATTAGCCGTTGGATATTAATCAAATGGATCAGAAAAAACAGATTTAATTTATATTTTATAAACTTAATTGGATAGTCGCGTAAGTGTGACTGTGATTGTGGGATTTGCAGCTGTCAGAAAATCTGGATCTCCGACAAGTTGTCGTTACACTGTCTCATTTGGCATACAGCTGTAGCCTGTGAGACACTTTCTACTTTGGGCCACATACTATATAAAAAAAATTATCTTCCTTTGTTTTATTAACAATTTTGCGCAAATTATCTGATAGATCAATTAAAAATATGGTATGCAATTAAAAAATTTGGTATGCATTTATATAGAAATTTTTAAAAAGGTGAGTACAAAAATTTGGTATGCATTTATATAGAAATTTTTAAGAAGGTGAGTAAGAAAATTTGCCTGCCTGTTTCAAAAACTTCATAGAATTATTAGATTTTTTTCATAATTTCGGAATATTCGTTAGTATTAATTTATCGTGCTTTTTCAAAAATTCTAGAGATTATCTGATTTTTTTTCATAATCAATTTGATAGTGTTAATTTTTAATGGTTGAGATTTTATCAACACTTTTGTAGTGTAGTTATTGTTCAGACAATTTTTTATGATCCATAATGATTTTAAATTTAAATAAATATATATTATATGTTATTTAAAAAAATATCTCATGTCTCAATATTGGTATCTCGCATTTGAGTATTTCAAAGAAGTATTATTCCGAATAACAATTATTAAAACATAGACGGTTCTTAGGTCTGATCAGGATGGATACATGTCCGGGCTTGGACTCAATTTTTTTTTTTGTGTACGTGGGTTAAAAAAAGCAAAAAAAGAATTCAAAAAAGAAACAAAGGAAAAAAAATCAGAAAGGGGAATCATAGAATTGTTAAAACAGAAAGAGGAGAACCACATCCGTCACCATCGTCGCGCCTCAGCGCCACCAACCTCTCTGCTCCGGCTCTCCGACTCCTCCATCCTCTCGGCTCTCCTCTCGATCTCATCCCTCTGCCACTGCTCCGGCCTCCGTCTCCTCCCTCCTCTCGACTCTTCTTAATTTTATTAGTTTTTTATTTTTGGGTATGGTTTGAAAATTTGTGAATCTGTCATCTGTAATAGAATAAGCGCTTATTATTTATGAGTATTGATTTTGTTAAATTGATGCAGATTTGATTTTGTTTTTCATGAAAAACAATTTGTCTTTTGTGATATTAGTAACGATTTCCCATTATACCAGCTTATCATATGAAACTTGATAAAGTTCATCTGCAAAATTAGGAAATAAATGGTTCCTTAGTTTAAAAATTGTTGGCTTGTGATTGAAAATATTTGAAGTTAGTTTTAACAAAATTATGATATTTGTACTTAGTTCTCAATTGGTTTTGATTTAATGACTTCCACTGACATTCAAAATAAGCTTGCAATGTGTTGTACACATGAAGTTATTAAGGTGATTATGGAAGAACTTGGTCATAGACAACTCCCTATGCTTATTGATAAGTCACATGATATATCCGTCAAAGAGCAAATGACAGTGATGTTGAGGTTAGTAGTTGTAATTTTCAATTTCCAATTTTCATTACCTATTATTCTCTATGCCGCCAAGTAAACTTGTTGAATTTGTTTTAGGTTTTCGAACGATAAAGAGATTGTTGTAGGAAGATTTATTGCTCTACATCATGTCAAAGATACTACATATGAGTCATTAAATGATGCTCTTTATTGTATTCTTGATAAGTACATATTATCTATTTCAAGGATACGATGGAAAGGTTATGATGGAGCTTCAAATATGAGAGACAAATTTAATGATTTGCAAAGAAATATTTTAGATGAAAACCCTTATGCTTTTTATGTCCATTGTTATGCTCGCTGTTTGCAATTGGTTGTTGTATATGTTGCTAGTTATTTCATATTTATTCATGATTTCTTTGAGTATATCTCCTTGATTGAGATCACATCAAGTGCATCTTTTAAGAGGATGAATGCTTTGACGGAGGCCAAACAACAAGACATTGTAAATAAACTTGAGAGTGGTGATCTATCTATAGGAAGGGGCTTGCACTAATTATCTAGTCTCACAAGACCCATGGATACTAGATGAGATTCACGTCATACTACATTGCTTTGTTTGGATCAAATGTGGCCCTCCGTGTTAAAGGTGCTTAGTATGGTTCATGAAGATGGACGTGGACCATCTCAAACTGTGAGTTTGATAAAAAAGATGGGGAGTTTTAAATTTTATTTTATTTTGAAGTTAATGTTAAAGTTGTTTGGTATCACAAACAAGCTTTCAAATGTCTTGCAAAGAAAAGATCTTAATATTGTGATTGTCATGAAATTAGTTGATGTTGTCAAAGCTCGGTTGACCACTATAAGAGAGAGAGAGAGAGTGGTTAGGATAATTTATTTGCCGATGTCCAAGGATTTTGTGTTGCTAAAGGTATTCTGGTGCCAAATATGGATGACGAAATACCAGTTCAGGTCGTTCAAGAATAGAAGGGAGGACTATCACTAATCATCATCATTACAGTACAAAGATTTTTTTGTTGCTATTGACAAAATATGTGTGGAGATGGATCACCGCTTTAGTGAAGGAAGTAACATTATCCTTTATTTCTTCTCATGTCTTGACCCCCATAACTCTTTCTTCAAGTTTGATATTGATAAGCTTGCTCACTTGCTGATATTTATCATGCAGACTTTTCTGATGATGATCGTGGAACAATAAGGGACCAACTTGAAACTTATGTTGTTCAAGTGAAAAGAAATTCTTCATTTTCCCCTTGTAAAGATGTTCAAAGTTTGACTACAAATATGGTTTAAACTGAGAAACATTTGATATTTCCATTGGTTTACAAATTTATTGAGTTAACTTTGATATTTCCGGTGTTGATCACATCCATTGAAAGAGCTTTTTTAGCAATGAATATTATCAAGTGTAAATTATGCAATAAGATCAATGGTGTGTGGTTCAATGACTTGATTGTATTTTACACTGAACGGGAGATATTTAAGTCGTTTGATGATATTGATATTATTCGAACATTCACCACAAAGAAGTCTCGTAAAGGATATTTGTCTCGTGATTTTATTTAACACACTATTGTAAGGTTATATTTCTTCTCTTTTATTTTAAACTATACTTTTGTTGACAAAATTACGAGTCTCTTTTATTTTGATTGATGGCTATTTATATATTATATACAATGTAAATTTACGGACTTCAAATTTTTTGCCCAGACTTTATAGTTTTCTGGATTCGCCATTGTTGCCTAGAGAACTGCACCTCCACTACATTATCTCTAATAGCAATGACATTACTGATGATGTTAGACATAAACCATATATCAATGCATTTTTGAAATTGGAGGTACACATGTATGTGTTTTTACCAGATATTTCAAAAATTTCAGTAAAAATGCTTTGTTTTTTCAAAAAATGCAGTATGAATCTTAAATTGCCGTTAAAAAACATAATATTAATGATAAAAAGAACTCACTTATAAATATCCGCACTACTACGAATAACATATTTTACAACGGTTGTGAATGAGCTATAACCACAGTTGGAGGACCGTGGTAAAGTAACATGTGGTTGTAAGTGAACTATTTACAACTATGATCTATTGGTCGTGGTTATAAATTAGAAAGTGTGTTATATATAATCATTGTTGTAATAAATAATTGTAGTTTAAAACTAAAAGGACATGGGTTCGATACCAAGCAACGTCATTTTTTACGTTTGTTAATTTGAATAGTGTGCAACATATAACCATGATTGAAACAACCAATCGTGGTGAAAAAATTGATTTTTTTTAATATAATTTTTTTATTTTATAGAATTCACATTTTTTAACCTGTATTTTTGTGAATCATAAATAGAATAGAAACATCAACACAAACCACTTGTGAACCACACCCATAGTTGGCAACTATTAAGAAGAAGAAATTGTATTAGATGAAAACCAAATCAAAATGGCACAAGATAACATACTATTTACACATAATTACATCAAATAATATCTACGACATGGGGAACGTGTCTTTGTCTTTTGGTGTCTAGAATTTAAACACCTATAAATTCAAATAATAATATTTTTCAGTAAATAACCCTAGAAATTATAATATACAATAAATAAACAATAAAAAATATTTACTTGTTAATTTTTGCATATGTCTTCTTTATGATCATTATGAATAGCATGCCCATCACCTCTATCAACTTCTTCATATGAATTGGACACTTGTGTTGCTTAAGAAGGAGTCAGAGGAATATCAAAATTTAAATCATAATTTTCATTACTACGAGGAATGTGTTTTTCATGGAGAATAATTAATCATCTTTTGTCATAAGGGTGAGTCACATAAAATACTTGTTTTGCTTAGGTATCCATGATGAATGGTTCGAACATATAAGTTTCCTTGCGAAGGTCACCCCATGTAAATCCTAACTCATTAGTTTGTACATCCATGTTTTTGCTAACATACTTATATTTAAATAAAGGCACTTTGAATAAAACATAATTCATCTCCTAAATCACCTTAATGACACCAAAGTATGCTTTAGATGCCAATATTGAATTCTAATCTTTCTAACTAGTTAAATAGATGAATTCAGCCTCAACCATAACTCCACTATTTTGTATTGTAATGCGATCATATTTTAATTTTGTACAAAAGGATAATTAGTAATGTCATATGTAGTTCCATTTACAATAAATTTTGGGATGCATGATGTAACACCCTAACTTTTATTAATTAATTATATATTTTATTAATTATTTATTTGTTTGATTGTGTGAGTAAATGATTTAAATTAAATTATCATATGTGTGCTATGTGACGTGTATGGTCAATGTCAGTGTTAGAAATCGTTGTGTCTAATTAATTAAGTTAGTGGGTATTTAATTTACTAATGAGAATTATAGAGGAATAGTGAAATAATAGTAATTGGGATTAATTGTGAGAATGTGAAGAGTTAGTGGAAGTGTGGATAGTGATCTCATTAACTTGGTTTTGAAATTAGATGTTAGTATTAATTTACTAGGGTTTTAATAAAAAGAAGAAAAAAGTTAGTAAGAGGAATAACAAAAGAGTCTCAAGAGAAAGAGGAGAAAGAATACAAAGGGGGGAAAATCTATAAAAGAACGAGATAAGGGTGGACTTTTACATGATTGAGAATTATATAATGATATGTAATGGTAGATTATGCTTAGGATGTAAATCTCTCCATTTCTATTTTTGGTAGATGTTAGGGTTTGATGAGAAATCTATGAGAATGATGTTGACATGTGCGTGATTAAATTGATGTAAATGCATATTTGATGAAATAGAAATGTTGTGATAGTGTATGTGAATGAATAATAAAGTTGAAAAACTGAAATAAGCATTGTGGGATATTTGGGGTTGTTTGGTTAGGTGAACAAAAGTGACTTTCGTGTCAAAAAATTTAAAAAAAAATGATTTTGGATTGAAGTTACCGGTTACTTAAAATTAAGTAACCGGTTACCTCAGAAAAACTACATATTTTTCCTTCTGGTCTGAAGTAACCGGTTACTTGAATTCAAGTAACTTGTTACTCTGCAATGTCGATCATTTTGTAAAAACTTAAAAAATTCATAACTTTTGAATCGTAGCTCCGTTTGGATCTCCGTTTGAAGCGTAAAAAAGATAACGCGATATTATTTTCAATAAAAATGGTCTTGTTGGAAGTAGGTGATTTAATCATTGCGTGGTTATGTAAAATGGCATGTATTTGTATGTTGTGTTGTTCTAATATTGCGATGTTGTGTTATTGTTATTGATCATAACATAATGAGTTGATAATATACTTGGTGGATTTTAATGATACTATTTGTACATTACTTGTTATATGTTATTATGATGGTTTAGTATGGTTACACTATGAAGGTGAATTGTATATGGATAATTCATGGATATGCGTATGTGTGTGCAATTGTGTGGCAATTCAATTGTGATGAATTATAGAATATATGCATGTATATTAAGATTGAGGGATAGTCTTAATTGCATATGGTTGTTGAAATTGCACATGCATCATTATTGTCAAGAGGCAATGCTTATTAGTTCCGTGAGAACTAGTAACTTGTCCCAAACCTAGAATGGAGTTTGAAAGCTTAAGAAATGGGCTTTTTGTGTGTTATTGATCTAGGGAATGGACCCGATTTAAAGTAAAAGTCGAATAAAAATTACAGTGATTGATACCACATGCATGAGTATTGCATTTGAGCTTTGCATCGAGTCACATTGTGTTTATGTCATAATATGAACTTTATGTGCATTATGTGAAAATGATGTATTGTGAAATTGTGGATTTGTGATTATATACTTGTGAATAATATGATTAATTGAGTGATGCTATGTGTATAAAGCATATGAAGTGTGAGAATATTATCTTTATGCATGTATGCTATGTATTATATGTTATTATATGATTTCGATAATTATGTTAATCTCACCCTTCTGTTGGAATGATGTTTTATACGACATCACTTAGATACTGAAGATTAGAGTTGTTTCTAGTAAGAAAGTAGCTGGAGGAGTTAGTTTATTTTAATTTCGTATTTTGATTTTGAGTCATGCTCTGATTATGTAACACGGGGAAATATTTTAAATTCATGTTTTGAGAGATACATTATATACTCTATTTTATTTTGTTATGATGTATTTGAATTATGTGGTGAATTGGCTTTTATGCCTAGGTGGTGAAACGAATAAGTTGATTATGAGATTAATTATTATATTCATTATGAATGAAAGAGATTCCACTTCTACATGCTTACGTGAAAGTGTATGGAAAGCAAGAATTTTAATTAAGTGTTATTGAGCATGACAACTGTATGTGGTGTTTGAATGATGTGTGACACACTTGAATTGATATGCATGTTATATTACTCTGATTTATGACAATTTATTATGCGGAGTTTTAGAGGGTGTTACACATGACATCCATTTAATTGTCTTGAATGCATTATCGTCATTAGAAATCCTTTCATTAAAAAAACTTATGAAATTTTTGTTATGCTCTTTCAACAAGCACTTGTCACTCATTCGAGAATATTTTTCTTTCATAAATCTTATGTGAGTAGATAAGTAAGGTTGAACTTCATCAACATTATTAAAAATATACAAATGTGCTTGAAGATCTACAATATTGAAATTTACTTCTCATTTGATTGATTAATGTCTTGACTATAATTGATAGTGAAATATTAAAATTAATAATATTAATAATTGATCTTTGTTATCCAAGTGAGATATTGTTCGATTAATGATTTAATCTATCAAATATGGATGGACATAATCAATTACTAATTTATTAAATTATGATAAATTGATATTAAACATTAATTATTGATATATTATCTGATTGAGTTTTGTTTATGATTATACCTTGATGAATTGAATCATTCTGTTAAGCTAAATGTAAGATCTCTACCCTTAATTATTAATCTATATAAGTGTTTTTCTATTAAAAGATTAATAAGTAGTTGAAAAACGAAGACACCAACGAGAACAATAATTTTCTCATTCTTAGTCCTCTAAACATTGGAATTGTGAATCCTAAAAGGTATTTCGTTCAGGATCTAATCCTATTATAAATATATTTTATTTTGTATCTATATTATTATTAATTATTAAATAGCATCATTAGTTATTCTCAGTGTCAATATAACTTATTTAAGATTCGCCATGAAAATAAATATTATTGAAAATTTTATATGTTGTATTAAGTTAAGTGATCCTTTAGTTGAATTAATTGTTACGTTAAAGCCTATTATTTAGGAAGAAGATCAAATGGTTTATAATCATTTATTTGAATTTGTGTATAAGTCTTCTATAATTATATTTAGGCTATGTTAATTGTTACGTTAAAGCCTATTATTTAGGAAGAAGATCAAATGGTTTATAATCATTTATTTGAATTTGTGTATAAGTCTTCTATAATTATATTTAGGCTATGTTAAGTGAAATTCTAGTATTCAGATCATAAATGTCCTAAGAGATATCGAGACACCGATCTTTGAAATTGCACATAATGACAAGGTAAACGATAAACACAATACAGAAAATTAA